CTCTGTCAGGGTTGGGTTCTCCTGCTTGTTCTCAAAGCTGTTCGTACTTCTCCCAAATCAGACACTGATCTCACTTGATTGTAATGATGCCTATACATCCATGTCTCTTCCAGGAACTGGTCAGCTCCCTGAAGTCAAGTGCTGAGCTGTGTCTTCCCAGCTTCGGGAGTTCTGCCTGTATACAGACTATAATTTGTTACTTGAACAAATTAGCTATCTTTACATGGAGCAGGGAACTGGCACTACATAGAAATTAAGGGTATAATCTTTTGCCACTTGCTGGCTGAGAGACTTTGGGCAAATCACTTAAACACTGAGGCACACATTTTTATGCTCTATAAAATGAGAGTAATAAAACACCTGCTTTATAGGAAAGCTTTGGGAATTTAGTTAGATTTTCCACATTAAGAATATTTAGCCAGCCCTAGCTGGTTTGGCTCAGTGGATAGAGTGTCAGCCTGTGGACTGAAGTGTCCCAGGTTCGATTCCAGTCAAGGGCACATGCCCGGGTTGCAGGCTTGAGCCCCAGTAGGGGGTGTGCAGGAGGCAGCCGATCAATGATTCTCTCTCATCATTGATGTTTCTGTCTCTCCCTCTCCTTTCCTCTCTGAAATCAATAAAAATATATTTTTTAAAAAGAATATTTAGCCATAAATTACCACATCTATCTAATGTGAGCTCAAAGAATGTTATCTGTGATAATAATAACAGTTATTAATAGCTATGAGAGCTGTTGTTATTATCATCTGCCCCTGTGTGTCTTGTCCTTGGAGTCAGAGATTTCTGCCTTGTCAGGTAAGAACCTGAGGCAAAGAGCCAGATGTGACTTTCTTTTGCCACATGCCAAGCGTCGCTCCCAAGAGCCTCACGCTCTCGGCCCCGCTGATTGCACTTGTATCTTGGATGCTCCTCTGTTGCTCTCTGCCCATATGCCTCAGGAGGACTGGTAGAGTTGGCTAGAAATAGTAGCCTTTGCCTTCTGGCTTATTACACAGGATTGTCTGCAAAGAGGTCTGTCAAGCCCCTCATGTCTCATTATAAGCTTTTGTTGGCTCCCTTCATTATATGTGTGTTCTCTGTGGTTTTTACTTTAGCCTGTACTCCAGGGGGAAAAAAGAAGTTCTATGGTGCCAAGAACAAAGGTTCTGAGAGGTAGCTGGAGCACAGGGATGTCAAAGGTGTAAAGCAATGTGGTAATTCTTCTCTAGGGCCTGTGTGTTATAGCATAATCCTCCTCTTGAAAAACAAGTGCAAGAGACTGTCTCCTGGAGGTTCCATGAGGCCTTAACAATCTTAAGGGAAAAGCTGATCCTAAGGCAAAGGTGCAGATTTCCACAGACAATCTAACACTGTGTTGACAATGGTCAGGCTGGGACATGGTAGAGGCCTTCTCTCATTGTAGAGCAACACTTATTCCCTTGCCACACCTTTCTGCCAAGAACTTGTCACCACATTTTCTATCCTCCAAGAGATTTATCTGACAGTTTGGACACATGTATTACTTGGAATGCATATTTTTTTTTCAGTATTGACCCACTTTTCTGTAATCCAATAATATTTATTGAATGAATACTTGTTATACGTTAGACTCTTCACTAAAAATTTTGCATCTCTTATTGCATTTAATCTTAAAATACTATATGATTATTAACATTATTCCCATTTACAGATGAGAAAACTGAGACTTAGCAAAGGTAATGATTTATCAAGGAATATAGTAATTGAGAAGTGAAGATGAGAAGTCTGTTAATAATAGTCTCCAACTCTAAGCTTTTAAAAAGCAGCGACTCATAATTTATTTTCTATAAGTATGTGACTAAATATGCAAACATGCATAAGACAGGCACTGAGTGACTTCTTATTAAAAATAATTTCTTTTTCTTACAAATAACAAAATATATATATACAGGGTTGGCAAAAGTAGGGTAACAGTTGTGAGTACACAAAATACAGTTTATTATTGTATTACTAGAGGCCTGGTGCACGAATTCATGCACGAGTGGGGTCCCTCGGCCTGGCTGGTGATCAGGACCAATCAGGGCCATCTCGCCCAGTCCTGATCAAGGCTGGCCGGTTGGAGGGAGGGACCATGGAAAGTTGGCTGTGGGAGCACACTGACCATCAGGGGGCAGCTCCTGCATTGAGCATCTGGCCCTGGTGGTAAATGCATGTCATAGCTACCGGCTGGTCATCTGGTCATCCAGTCGCCTGGTTGTAACAGTTGCTTAGGCTTTTATATATATGAATAATTTATCAATTATTGTATGAATTGGGGCTGATCAGGGCCATCTCGCCCAGTCCGGGGGGTGGGGAGGGACCATGGGAGGTTGGCTGGCCAGCTGGGGGGAGGGATTGTGGGAGGATGTGGGAGCGCATTGACCACCAGGAGCAGCTCCTGCGTTGAGCATCTTCCTCCTGGTGGTCAGTGCGTGTCATCGTGACCAGTCATAATGGTCGCTTAGGCTTTTATATATATAGATTATGTTATATATCTCAAATAGAACACAGTTTCAAGTCAGAAGCCCAGGATCCCAGTTCTGGTTCTTCCATCAATGTAGAAAAGTTACTAAACTTCCCCTGCCCATTTTAATTTGAAAATACATGGTTGTGTTAGGTCAGTAGTTACCAAATGTTGGCCTGTGATGAACTTCATCAGTCTGAGATGAAATGAGAAAAATAAGAACAATGGATATATTTACATAAATTTGCTTATTTTATAAATCTGTTAAAGTGGCTATTTTTTAATAAACAATGGTGATTTTTTTCCTTTGACATCCTTACCTGGCAAAATTCAAGTATGTCCTCCATAGTAGGACCTGACATTAGAAACACATATGTATTTTTACTGGTTCATAAACCCAAAGGTCAGGGAACACTAAACTACGTGATCACTAGTGTACGTTCTAGCTTCAAAATTCTATCCTGTTCTTAGATCACAAATGATATTTAGCTGACCCTAAAGTAGAAAAGAAGAAAAAGTGTTATCCCCTTTTTCCTTATTTATTTCAGCATTTCCCCAAATGTGTTCTGCTGAAAGACAGCCCCTAGCAAGATATTATAGCTATTCCACCAGAAAAGCATTCTTAGTCATATGAGTTTGGGAAACAATAGGTTAAACAAGTTGGACAGGTCTCCTAACTAAAAAGTTTCAGATCCTGTAAAATTCTTGTGTTTATAGCGACTCCCCAAAAGGAGACAAAGCATGAGTGCTCCCGAAGTTACTGATGGAAAGCAGATGCTCCTCAACCCCATGTTGAGGACAGTACACCTATTCCTGAAATACAATTTGAGAAAGACAACTTCAGTTAAAGCTAAAAGAAAGTTTCTTTGTAGCTTTCATAATAAAGAAAAAATATAGTATTACAGGCAAGGAGACTCCCACTTACTTTATAATATTACCAAAACTATGGATATTTTCAAAAATTACAAAAGAAGCCTGGATAAAAATACTTCAGATTAAAGTGCATTGGGACTACAGAAGAGTTTTGTGGCTGTTTTGATAATTTTTTTTACCATAACATATTTAAAAAATTATGTCAACAGATTTATATCCAGTGATTACAACATGATAATTAAAGCACTTGGAATTTGCAGAAATCTGCAGTCACAAATTGTGACTATCATCCCTGCACAGTGAATAAAAGATAAAATAAAACCAAGGTAAAAATTTAGCCGAGAAAACCCCTGGATTCCTCTCAAATGGTGTGACCTTATTAAATATTTCAGCAGCAGGAACAATTAATTCTGAACGCTTATGCTTGTGGCTCAGAATTGATTTATTGCAACACTTCTATGATCAAAAAACAAAATTCTTGATAGAAGATAAAAATCTAATAGTGTGCACTTGTTTTTCTTTTTCTTTGCATAATTATCCAGAGTAAAACTTTGCCTTTTTCTTTACTCTTTATGTGATCATGTTAAATATCAACCAGCCAAACCCTTCAGCCTTCACAATTCTAGATTCAACTTTCACTCAACACACTGAGGAGAGAACAACTGTCACTTGGGACCAACTGTCCCCTAGGAAGGATCTTTCGGATGTTCTGACACGAACAACCTGGCCTTCTGACTCCCTGCCCCGCAGGGCTTGGACAAGCCTGTGGCTCTGCATTACCTCCACTATTTTCCATTGTGACTGTACGTAAGTTCCAGCCTGTTTTCCTAATCCTGCTGACTACAGCAGTCTGTCACCATAAAAAGCCTCTCGGACCTGGAGTTGGCTTCGGAAAGTGCCTTTGCAAAGGAACAAAAAAAGTACACGTAACGTTTACGTTTAAAGGCAGGAGAGAGGAAAGCTCTTGTTTTCATGCTGCTGGGCTCAAACGATTGTTTTTAGGGTTGAACTTTCAAAATATTAATTTGCTTCTGGTGACATTTGTAAACAAAATACCAATTCTAAAATGAGAGCACTTTAGCCAGGAAAGGGGGGAGTGTCCAGTCCAGCAGATCAAAACTCATCCAAACTCCACTGGAGAAGCGTGTCTATGAATTAACACATGACCGACGTGCCACGCCTCGGGTCCTCAAACCTCCTAGTGAACAGGTGTGCGGGAGGTTTACACCAAAGATTCAGGTTTCCGAATTAGCTGCTTTAAAACCTTACGATAGTACTTGCTTAGTCTCTGGGAAGGGAGATAGAACACCAAAAACTCTTTTTAACTGACGACAATGCTCATCTATATAATTTGATTCCACATAAAAATACTGTAGTTTGACACGATACCATGCAAGCTCCCATGAACATCTGCTAAGCCTAATAAGAAGTTGGATTTCATTTTTGTAATAAAGAGATCCAACTGAAAAGTAAATATCAGAAAGAGGAAAAAAAGTAAAAGTTTAAGTAACTCCTTCACACATTTGAACTTAGACTGTCCACCCTATAAAATGCTACCCCCCCCCACACCCCCAAATGGAAAAGCAGATCACACTTAACGTCAACATTTCAAAACTAGTATCGCTTAAAAATTATTGTTAAAGCACAACACATCGGAGCTACTTGCCTTTTGGCAATTTCTGTGCATTTCCCAGGGCTAGTGCAAAACTTCCACAGAGAAGGAGGCACCCCAAGCTGGACAGCATGTTGCATTTGCCACCTCACACGGGGAGTGATGCTGGTGGGTGTCCTGCAACCCTGGAGCTGCATTTAAGTGGACTGTCTCCCAGTGACAGGCGGGCGGCTGTACTTAGCCGAGCTGTGGGCTTACTCACAGGGGGTGGAGACAGCATGACATCACACCCTTTCTCACACCAAAAAAAAGAAAGGCACAACAGCAAAAACATATCATAACATTTCCTGCTAGGTTATAACTGTCTGTCTCTTGCTCCTGTGATATAAACATCAAACTTATGTTCAATCTGTGTTTGTGAAAGAAAAAGTATTTAGTCAATTTTGAAACATTGGTTGAGCTATTTTTAAAAATCCAGAAAAGACATACTTAAAACCATTGGAACATTAAAAATATAAAATAAAACCTTATTAGGAAGGAAACTGTTTTTAATTATCCAGTACACCAATCCAATTCTTCTTTTAAATGGGAGTAAACTCATAAAAATGGACTTTTAACCATTCTGAAGTTCCAGTATTATAAGAAACATTTAAAAGTGAATACTTGGCTACACAGCTATTCATTGTACACACACAGAGAGAGAGAGAGAGAGAGAGAGAGAGAGAGAGAGAGAGAGAGAGAGACATACTGATAGTCTCTAGATATAGATGCAGAGATATAGTGAATTCATTGTCACTGATTGTCCACAGCTCTGGTCCATGTTGTGTAATAGTATTCTTGCCCACATTATTGTAATTTAGTCCTTACAGTGGCTGTACAGGAAGGATGATGATATCACCACTTTATCAGCGAGAAAACCTGAAGCTTAGACAGTTAAATGTCCTGACAGTGTATTCTAATGGTTAATAATTTGGATGGGCTTTGCAATAGAACTGACCAGAGTTTAAATGTGTATGCCATATGCCTTTGAACAAATTGCTCCATCTTTAGCTCATCAACTTTGCTTATATTTAAGTGCTTGCTTCATGCCAGGTGCTGATATGATCAGTTCACATATATTAAAACATTTATTCCTCAAAATAACCTACAAGCAGCCAGTGTCATCATCTCTACTTTACAGGTGACAAATAGTGGGCATAGAGAGGATAAGTAGCAGGCACAAGGTGACAACTAGTAAGCCACAGAGCTGGCATTTTAATCAGGCAATTTAACCCCAGAGCTTGCACTCGTAATTACTAAACTTTAAATTCTAAAGTAGAGATGATAGTACGGATTTAATACATTTGCTAGCAGGATTTTGTGATAGTGTTTACCATGTAACCTGACCCACAGAAAGCATTTAATAAATAACAGTCACTGAAAACAACAAAAATATTTTCCTCACGTAAGTAGAACTATATTCTAACTGGGTGCTTCTATCTCCAGCGCTCATGTGTGTCCACTCTCCTCCTACTTCACATTTCCATGAATATAGGCCTTGCTGGAATGGCTGCATTAATAAAGTGCTTTAAATGTTGTCTGTACATTCATATTGACTCTGAAAATAGGCTATTTCATGGGATTGCTGTAACTGAGGGAAACGGACTAACTCTGGTCAAATGAGATTCCAGTCAATAAACTTCCCAAAGAGAAACTGAAGAGACAGCCCTGTCTGTCTTCCGAATAAAGTGTGAGGAGGCGCATTGTTAAAGTCATTAGAGCTGGCGCGGTCTCAGCTTTCACCCGAGGAATGCTCTGGCCCTGGTTACTGAGGGGATCTGGTTATTTACCAGGTCTTTTCATCTCTAATGTTTTACTCGACTAGGCAGCTCTCTCGAACCCGAGCTCGGACATTCATCCAGCTGGCGCCGCTGATTCCGCCTCTATATGCCATTGCCAGGGAGGCCTCTGTGCCAGCAGAAACGACAGGTTCCTGAGGGGAAAAAATAACCGAGCAGAAATATTGAGAAGAAGGCTATGTGCGGGGCTGGTCCGCGGGTTAGGTAATGGAATTACGGGATCAGTCTCCGCTTGGCCTGTAGGCTGCTTGAGCAATCATTATTTGCAGTTTGAAACTGTCTGGGAGCTAATTAAATAAAGGCTGATCTCCGATTATTTTGTCCGGAAAAGGTGATTTATTGCCTTAACTAGTAGGACACTGGGCAGTCAGTGAAGACACTGAAAGACTTCCTCTCCAAAGACCAGGGAGTGGCACGTCATAAAGAAGCAGACCATGTTAGAGGAGACATTTCACTTCTCAATGAACGAAAAGTTTCCTATCATGTCAGAGTCCCAACCCAAGTGGGAGGTGCACAAATAGTCCCGAGGAACTGTAAGCACCTTGCTACATGGAATAAAACTTCAGAGCTGTGGGCATGTGATCATTAGAGGATTTAAGGCCATTTCCAAGGTAGAATTATCCTCTGACCATGGGTACCCTGGAGATGACGGCTCTGGACTAATCCGTGCATCCCTGTGAGGTCTCTCAGCTGTCATCAGAGAAGGCCAACACGAAGCCCTGGTTGTGTCTGTATTTATCTGAAAATATAAAAACCTAAAGCTCCATTAGTTGTGAGATTGTAAAATATTGTATTCACCAATATCTGCGAAAAACCTAGTTTTACTAGGTTTAAAGTTGAACCTAGTTTAGCTCCATAGAATGCACAACACTGAGAGTGAACTGTATGTAAAATATAGACTCTGGATGATAACAATGTGTCAATTTAGGCTCATCAATTGTACCAAATGTACCACTCTGATGGGGATGTTGGTATGGGGAGGGTGGAGGGTATATGATGTTATCTCTAAATGTGTGGGGTCAAGGAGTAGGTATATGGGAAATCTCTACCTTCTGCTGTGAATCTAAAACTGCTGTTAAAAGAAAATTATAAAAAAAATCCTGTTGAGAACATTTAGGAAGAACTGCTGGAAAAACACATAAAATATATGTGTGCTGTCTTTATCCTGTGAAGGCGGGGACCATGTCTGTTTTTGCTTATCACTGTCCCCAGTGCATATAATGAGAATGCAGTAAGTACAATGAATAAATATCAAATGAAGCAAAATTCATCAATTCTTCCAGATAGTCTAAAGGTTAGCTCTGAATCAAACCAGAGAGAACTAGAGTATGACTGGATTGATAGTTGTTGGGAGATAAGTCAAGGGTCCCTTCCACTTCTGCACATCTTATGAGAAGAGGCACTGATTCCCTGTGTTCCAGGCTTGTTTTTCAAGAATGTTTGGCTCTGGCTGGTGTGGCTCAGTTGGTCATTCAGTGCTACCAAAAGGTTGCTGGTTTGATTCCTAGTCAGGGCACATCCCTACGTTGCTGAACCCAGGAACGAAGAGGTCACAGTTCAATTCCCGGTTGTGGGCTCGATCCCCAGTGGGGGACGTGCAGGAGGCAGCTGATCCATGATTCTCTCTCTCATTGCTCTCTCTCTCTCTCTCTCCCTTCTTCTCTCTGCAAAAGTCAATAAAAAATATTTTAGCTCAGCCAGGTGTGGCTCAGTGGTTGAGCATAGACACAGGGACCAAGAGGTCACCCATTCCATAATGTGGTTCAGTGGTTGAATGTCGACCTGTGAACCAGGAGGTCACAGTTTGACCCCCAGTGTGGGGCGTGCAGGAGGCAGCCAATAAATGACTCTCATCATTGATGTTTCTATCTCTCTCTCTCCCTCTCCCTTCCTCTCTGAAATCAATAAAAAATATATTTTTAAAATATTTTTTAAAATTTAAATAAAAAGAATATCTGAATAGCAGACAGCTTTGGAAGATAGAAGTTTGTTTACTGCCCTATGTAATAAAGGCAGTGTTTCCCTCTGGAGTAAAGGGAACACATGCTCACTTCCTATTATCAACGATTCAGGTTTCCTAAGGACAGGGCTCCTGTTCTATAATACAACCCATGGCGTGTGTAGGTGTCACCTATACCTCCTTGTGCTTCCCTATGGGGCACTGGGGCACCTAGAACTGACACAAATGCTGATATGCAGGCTATTGCTATTGCTCTGAATAAATAAACAGTCCTTTTTGTCTTTGACTCGGGAGTTTTATGTCTCCTGCCAGCATCCATGTACTGTGCGTGTTAGCTTGCACGTACAGTAAAATATCAACCCTTCATAGTTCTTGACAATAAGATTGGCTCATTCCAAAATATTTTATTAGATAATCTTTGGTATAATGCCATCACCCACATTGAAATCCACTATAAGAATCAACCATGAAAGTCTATTGTGCAAAGGAAGAGTGCTGCTAGACATTGCTTATGAAACCATATAGTATCTATCCTCTTTGTAAAAACAGTGGAGAAGAAATTTTAACTCTTCTTTATGTGAAAATGATTGTAATTTTTCTGAGCAACTGTATTTATGTCGTGACATTGTAACTAGGTTTCTTGTTCTGCGTTGACTGCTAGAAAACCAGAGCCAAACATGTTCCCAGCCCACACTAAGTGTATAGACATGATGCGTGTCTTGGCATCATGCCTGGTTTTATTTTCCATCTCCACCCTTACTTCTTGCTTACTTGGAATCTTAATTTATGTGATTTTATAAGTTGCTTTTATTTTTTTTCTGGAATAAGGTTAGGGATAAACAAACTCCACACACAGGAGTTGCATCAAAAATATGCGTCAAACTAAAAAGCTCCTGCACAGCAAAATAAACCACCAACAAAACGAAAAGGGAGCCCACTGTACGGGAGAACATATTTGCCAATGATACATCTGATAAGGGGTTAATTTCCAAAATATATAAATAATTTATACAACTCAACACCAGGAAGATAATCCAATTAAAAAACAGGCAAAGGATCTGAATAGACACTTGTCCAAAGAGGACATACAGATGGCCAATAGACTTATGAAAAGATGTTCAATGTAACTAATCAACAGAGAGATGCAAATTAAAACCGTAATGAGCTACCACCTCATACTTGCCAGAACGGCTATCACCAATAAAATCAACAAAAAACAAGTGCTGGCAAAGATGTGGAAAAAGGGGAACCCCTGTACACCATTGGTGGAAATGCAGACTGGTGCAGCCACTGTGGAAAATAGTATGGAGGTTCCTTAAAAAATTAAAAATGGAACTGCCATTTGACCCAGCGATCCCTCTTCTGGGAATATGTCCTAAGGAACCAAAAACACCAATTTGAAAGAATATATGCACCCCTGTATTCATAGCAGTGCTAT